GGCACTAGGTTGCTTTTCTGGCTATTACAAACAATGCTGCTATGAACATAGTTGAACAGATGTCCTTGTTGTATGAATGTGCATTCTTTGGGTATATGCCCAAGAGTGGAATTGCTGGATCTTAAGGTGGATTGATTCCAATTTTCCTGAGAAACTGCCATACTGATTTCCAAAGTGGTCATACAAGTTTGCACTCCCACCAGCAATGGAGGAGTTCCTCTTTCTCCACATCCTCTCCAGGATAGACTGTCATTATATTTTTGATTTTAGCCATTCTGGCTGGTGTAAAATGGTATTTCCAAGTTGTTTTGAGTCATTACTATTTCTAACTGGTGTTGGCATGACTTTGTGACTTCCCTGTGCTGTTCTTGGAGATGCATTTCCTGATTAGTCAGAAGTTAAGGTCAAAAGCAACATTTGACCCACAGGCAGCTTTCCGTCCTCCTCACTCCAAAGCTATCCAGCATGGGACCACTGGAGAAGGCCATAGCTGACTATGGGCCTGGGGAGAGTCATTTGACAAAGTTCTTGCCTTGCATGAGGATCTGCGCTCACCCAATCCCCAGAGGCCATGTAAAAATGCTGGGAATGATGCCCTGTGCCTGCCATTCCAGCGCTGAGGAGGCAGATCCCCTGGGGGGGTTCCTGACCAGCAGAGACCCAAGTTCCACATTCAGTAAGAAACCATCTTAATAAACAAGGTAGACAACTCCTGAAGAATGACACCCAATGTTGACCCCTGGCCTCCACACTCATGCACTCATACCATAAATGTGACAATGATCCAGATCCCCAGACATGTTCCCTGCCCTTCCCTCCTCATCACTGCAGGGGGGTGGAGCATCCATTTTGCAAGCCACTGTTAACTACACTGCAGTCATGCCCAACTGACTTGTGATATTAGCCACCTGAGCTCAGCCAGCCGATGAGTAATGAGTGAACAGCAGAGCTTATGGAGATGACTCGCTTCACTAACACCACCAGCCATGAGTCAGTCTTGTTCGGGCACTGCTCTAGCAGGGACCTGTACCCTTTGCAGAGTTAGACCTGTCTCTCCCTGCTGGCAAACGCTGTTCCAGCTGGTTTTACCACGTCGTGATTACCGGCCAAAATCCCAGCTCGTTTGGATATGTCAGATAAAGAAACCGGTCCCGAGATGGTGTCTAGGAGTCCCACAAGGCTAGTTAGCGGTCAGGAAAGAAGCTGGTCTCCCAACTCCTGGAACTTTGTGGCCTTCACACACCAGTATGAAGAAACCTGTCCTAAAATAATACAGAGTGGGAAACTGGGGATGCAGCTCAGCCGGTAGAGTGTTTGTTTAGCATGCACAAAGCCCTGGGTTCCATCCCAGCAACGCCCACAACCTGGCAGTGTGACACAAGCTTGAAATTATGCACTTACTTGGGAAGTGGAGGCAGGAGGATCAGAATTCAAGGTCATCCTTGACTACAATGTGAGTTGGAGGACAGCCTGGGCTACATGAGGCCTTGTCTCTAAAAACCAAACCAGGCAACCTTTTTCCACTCTGCAGGCAGAGTGGCCATAGATGGTATTTTTTTTTTCACTTCTTTAGTTTCCTTTATAAGCTTTGTAGCCATTTTTGCTTAACCCCTGGATTCATTTTTAATATTTTATTCCAGTAACAGGCTTACACAAGTTTTTTTTTTCTTTTTTTTCTGCTGAAGTAGTTATACACACACACACACACACACACACACACACACACACACACACGCACACACACACCCACACACCCCCCCACAGAGTCATTCTGTAGCAGAGGCAGAGAGCAGCCTGCTTAGTCCTCTTTCCTTGGGGAGGCTTTCTTGCTTTTCTGATGGCAGATAAAAAGGACTAGTATTCAGGGCTGAGCTGGGAAATGATGACAATGACAGTCCTAATGGAAGGACCTTGATTCCAGTTCTTCTCCAAGCAGGTGCTGGGTCAGGGAGTGCCAACGGTGGGGCGTGGGGTGCATCTCAGGGCTGCAGAGCATCCCTGATGGATGTGTCCTTGAAGCTCAGTGGGAGTCACCAACATCATAATGGCCAATGTTCTCATTCTTTGTAGCCAAGGGCTCAGCGCACAGTAGGTACTTTCTAAGTGCTTGCTGAACTAACCTGGTGAGGGGATGTCAGTCTGTTGCCTGGCAACAATTGGGCCAGAGCTATGTGCCTCAGAGAGAAAAGGACACATGGAAGGAAAGGGGTCTGGGGGCTTTGAGTTTGGAGATTGGGGCTGGGGGTGGGGGGAGTAGCATTGAGTGTTATTGTGTGTCCTGAGTGCAAGCCAGTAATGAAGCAGATTGGGAAGGGTCCAGGTGAGACAGCTGGGACAGGAGGGAGCTGGGAGGGGAGGCAGTTGGCAGAGCTATGAGTCTATAGACCGAGGGGGACGCAATCCTGAAATGCTACCTTTCCACTGCCCTGTACTGTGGGGTCCAAGAAACAATGCGGTACAGCCATGCTTAGGGAACATGTTGATGGGAGTTAGATATGAGAGACTCTCAATGAGTAGCCCAGGCTAGATTTGCACCAGTGACCCTCCTGACTTAGCTTCCCAAGTTCTGGAATTACAGACATGCATCCCCAGGCTGAGGGTCTGTATATCCTGGGACTCTCTGATCTCTTACCTTCAAGCTGAGATTGGCCACCAGCCAGGAAGGGAGCTGTGACTTTAAGAAACCAACTCAATCTTTGTCTCTTGTTTCCTTGATCCCTAAAATGGGCGCATAGTGCTCTCCATTTTAAGGGGACATCATGAGATTAATGATTTTTTTTAAGATTTTATTTATTTAGTTAGTTATTACTGTTTTTTTCAAGATAGAGTTTTTCTGTGTCCTGGCTGACTGGAATTCTCTGTAGATCAGACTGGCCTTGAACTCACCGAGATCTGGCTGCTTCTGCCTCCCAAGTACTGGGATTAAAGGCCTATGCCACCACCACCTGGCTTAAAGATTTATTTTTAATAACTTCTGTATGTCCATGTATGGGTATGTGCACATGAGTGCAAGTACTCTTGAGGACCAGAGGAGGGTGTCAGAGCCTGGAGTGGGAGTTACAGGTGGTGGTGAGCTGTCAGACATGGGTGCAAGAGCAGCAAATGCTTTTAACTGCTGAACCATCTCTCCAGGCAGTGTGGCTTTCAAATCCCTGGGGAGCACTTACAATGTACCTCATACATGCTAGCTGTCCAGCAGAGCATGAACATAGCTGTGGCTTTCTCTTGTCCTTTGCTGTATTCACATGCACTCTGGGTGACACAGGCTCTAGGGTGCCAGCTTTTGTTGATCGTGGTCATGGTTTTTCTTTTGCCAGGTCCTGGCCAACAAGAGCCACCTCTGGGTTGAGGAAGAAGTCTGGCGCATGGAGATCTACCTCTCCCTGGGTGTGCTGGCCCTGGGTACGCTGTCACTGCTGGCCGTCACCTCACTTCCATCCATTGCCAACTCACTCAACTGGAAGGAGTTCAGTTTCGTGCAGGTAAAGCAGATTCCATTCCCCTTGAGAGCCAGCTGAAGCTTGGCCCTGGTCCGCCCTGGTTTTGTGCTCTATGAACTATTTCAGCTTAGCTCCTGGTTGTAGCAGTACACTGGGTCAGGTGGAGAGGACTCCCCGTCTTGTAGGGTCTCCCAGCCTCCTGATCCAGCTTCAGCTTGACCAGGGCAAGTTAATCTTCCTGACCCTGAGAAGTCCACCACATCTGACAAGGATGGAGGTCAGGGCATGGAACCCTGGGCTGAACTTGCTCAGGGAACATGGTGCTTTCATACAAAGTCATTGCAGGATTCCCTGTGTATGTGGGAGGCAGTGAGCTGTGAGTGAGCTTAAAACTCCTCCACCAACACATAACCTTCATCTCAACCCCACCAACACACACACACACACACCCTCAACTCAATCTCACCAACACACACACACAACCCCCTCATCTCAACCCCACCAACACACACACACACACACACCCTCAGCTTAACCTAACCAACACACACACACACCCTCAGCTTAACCTCACCAACACACACACAACCCCCTCAGCTCAACCTCACCAACACACACACACACAACCCCCTCAGCTCAACCACACCAATACACACACACACACACACACACACACACACACACCCTCAACCTCCACTGACACAGACACCCTCAACTCAGTCTCCACCAACACACACCCTCAGCTCAGCCTGGTGCTCTGTTCCCCTGTGGGGCAGGTGGGAACTAAGTGTGAGGACTGTTGTGTGGTGGGATGAAGTAGTGTTTCCTAAATGGTGCTGTTTCTTGGACAAATCCAGAGAAAAAGGTATGAAGACTGGGGTGTCACTTACATTACAGGTAGAATACTTGCTAAGCATGTGCAAGGCCCTTGTTTAAATCTCTGTAAGATAGATGATAGATAGATAGATAGATAGATAGATAGATAGATAGATAGATAGATAGATAGGACAGGCAGATAACTAAATAATAGATGATAGAGATAAATAGATGACATATACATACATACATACATACATACATACATACATACATACATACTACATACTACATACATACACACACAGAGTGGATTCATGTTGGTATAGGTGGATGGATGGACAGATAGATAAATGAATGCATGGGTGAATTGATGGTAATAGATAGACAGATGGCAGTTCTCCAATAAATAAATTATGGATTTACTTCCTGTAGGAGAGTCACAGTAGGCCTTGGCATATCAGAGATTCTAGTGTGGTTTTACACACACAAACTTCTGATAACCGGATATCTGTGAACACTGTCACCTCCATTCTGTTTCTCAACTAATCCTGGGAACACTCAGGGAAACAAAGCTGCTGGGAAAGGGTCTCCTTGCTGTTTTCAAGGCAGTGGACACTCTAAGCATATACTGTGTGCCAGGTGTCACTATAGGCCTGGGGTCAAGGTGAGCAGAGATTGATTGTAAGGGATGCAAACTACATGGGGGACATCTCAAATTCCCTGGGCACCCCCAATGTTCTTCAGAAAGTACAGGAGGGTCAGTGCTGGCAGACCAACTCATCCCTTTGGTGGATAGAGGCTGACTCATCTTGGCTCCTGCCAGTTGTATTGTATCAGGGCAGAGAACAGCTATATCCACCCCCACTGTCAACCAAAATCTGTAGCTTCTCTGTTCAACAAGGACTCAGAGGGACAGTGACAGAATACTGCTCTTATATAACCCAAATTAATTCTTCGTGACTGGGACCCTTAGCGTACCTTAGAACCAAACAGTTGTGGCTGATTTCTAAAGCATGGCTGCCAATCTCCAGGGCTGTGCTTCTCCTCAAAGGCCCCTGGAGGAGGGCTCAGGGCTGACACATGCAGGCCTAAGAGGGTGGGGAGGGAAGGAATTTTCTTGATCTGCCACTAATCCCTGTTTGTCTCATACCCAAATCTCGGATTTTTCACTTCCCGCCTCAAGTATCCTGGGTATGTGGTTTGGCCACAATTAAAACAGGCTGTGGGTCGCTTCCCTTTCCAGAAAGTTCTTCCCTTAAGCAGCTGTAGATTACATGTTCCGGTTCTGGCTGCTGGAAGAAGCCTATGGATTTGGTTTTGTTAGCAAAAGCTGACTGGGACTCCAGAAGTCATGTTTTGCTTTACATATTGAAGCGAGTAGTTTCATTTATGGGGGTCTGATGCCTGCACTGTAGCCCCAGAAACCTCATGCTCCCTCTCCCAAGAGCCCCAGTATGGAGGAGGGTCTGCCAGGGACTCCGAAGTCAGTTCCAGCACCACCTGCTCTGTGGGTGTGGGCAGTCCACGCCCCTCCCCCTAAGCCTTATTTTACACTCCTAAAAAATGAAATTAATGCCATAAGAGAAATTTTTGTGACGCATGGTGAAACATTATAGGTGAAAGAAAAACAGCACATTGCTGCTTTTCTTGGGGTATCTGGTCACAGCCCCACTATCTCTGATAAGCACCAACCACCACCTGTTTCTGTTTTGATTTTGGAGACGGGTCTCACTGCACTACAGAGACTGGCCTCAAACTCTTGGGCTCAAGAGATCCTCCTAGCTGGGACTCCATCACCTAATTGCTACTGTCTCTCTGTGTCTCCCTCTCAATTCTGTGTCATACCTGGCTGTACCCTGGGCGTGTGTAATGCATAATGGACCTCTTATTGTCAGCCACCATCAAAAATGTCCATAGCAGGGGGGCGAGGGTAAAGCCACAAAGCACTTCTAGAGAGATCAGATGTCAGACCGCCCCGTTACCAAAGGTCTAAAGATGCTCAGGGACAGTCTGGAAGTCCGGGTGACCCCTAAATGTGCATGCTGCCCTCCAGTGGCAGGAACACAGAGTCGGGTCCAAAGTACCCATTGGCCTCCCTGCTCCATCAGACATGTCTCCATGTTTTGGAGCTTCAGTCTCATCACTTCTACCTGTAGTAACCCAGGACCATGACAAGAATGTCACGGATATGGGATATATGGAAAATATAGGCTTTCTGTGTCCAGTAATAGCTGGGTTTTTTTTTTTGCAGATTTTTTTTATTTGAATTAGAAACAAGATTGTTTTACATGACAATCCCAGTTCCCTATCCCTTCCCCTGTCCTCCCCTACCACCCCACCCCAACTAAAACCCTACCTATCACATATCCTTTCTGCTCCCCCTAGATGGTGAGACCTTCCATAGGGGATCATCAGAGTCTATCGTATCCTTTGGGATCGGGCCTAGGCCCACTCCCGTGTGTCTTGGCTCAGGGAGTATTCCTCTATGTGGAATGGGCTCCCAAAGTCCACACCTATGCTAGGGATAAGTACTGAACTACTACAGGAGGTCCCGTAGATTTCCGAGGTTTCCTCACTGAAACCCATGTTCCTAGGGTCTGGATCAGTCCCATGCTGGTATGCTGGGATATTTTTAAAAAATTAATCTATTTATTTTACATCCCAGCCACAGCCTCCCCGCTCCATCCTCTCCTTCCAGTCCCTTTTCCCCACCCCACCCCCACTTCCCCAATCCCCTGCCTCTTCCATCTCCATCTGGGAAAAGGCAGGTCTCCTATGAGTATCAATAAACATGGCACATCAGATAAAGACTAAACACCTCCCCAAGTATTAAAGCTGGACAAGGTGACCCAGTATGAGGAGTAGGGCCCCCAAAGCCAGTAAGAGTTGGAGACAGTCCTTGTTCAGCTGGGAGATTTTTTTAGGGAAGCTCTGGCCTTCTTGACTCCTGTCAAGTTCATGAGCAGTGAGGAACCATTGGATTTAGAAACCTATTGGTGTTCCGAAGAGCCTGGGCCAACCCCTGGGCCTAGAATGCTCTGTTTAGCTGAGCTGAGAGCCATTGGAATAGTGATCCCATTAAAAGACTCCTTATGCCTGAATTTAACCTTTTATTTCCAAGGTGATTTGGATATTGTTTCGTTTTATTTAGTTTGAGGGGCAGGGTCCCATATAGTTCAGGCTGGCCTCAAACTTGAGTTGCATAGTCAAGGAAAACATTGAATGCCTGCCTGATCTTTCTGCCTCAACCTCCCAAGTGCTGGGGTCACAGGCATGTACCATCCATCACACCCATTTCTGTGGCACTGTGATGAAATCTGAGGCTTTGAGCATGATAAGCAAGCATTCAACCAGCTGAATTATACCTTCAACTCCTTGTTTGTTTGTTTGTTTGTTTGTCTGTTTCCCTTTGGAGACAGGATTCCTTGAAGCCCAGGCTAGTCTCAAATATTTATATTTGAGATGACCTTGAATTTCTGATCCTCCTGCCTCTGCTTCCCAAATGCTGAGATTACGTGTGTGCACACCAGTCCCTGATTATGAAGTGCTGGATCCTAGGGACTTGTACATGCTAGACCAGCAATGTACTCCTGAGCTATATCCCCAACTATTCACCATGGGTTCAAAGTTTTCAGTTTGTGTTTGTTTGGGTGTTTATATTTGGCTTCGGCTGTATTGAACCCTCCCTATTCACTTAAACCCCATAAGATTGTGGTGTCTAGGGGTCTTCAATGCACCTGTGTAGAAAACCCCAGGTGCAGCTCTGAAAGCCCAAGTTCTGACCTTGCTCAGTGCTGCCACTGCCTGAAATAATGACAAGGACCAGCCTGACCCACAGTTGGTGAGCAATGGCCAAAGCGCCTTCATGCTGTAGTACTTGAGTGCCAGCAGGAGCCACAGCTAACAAGCTTCTGTGTAATAAAAATGTCTCTAGCTTGGTGTGTGTGTCTGGGGGTGGGGGTTATTAATGGCCTTATGACAACCCTTTTTCTTTTAATTTCCTTTGGTTATTGTAGGGTTTTTAAAAATTGTTCCCAAGGACAGAGAGGATTTTAGGAAGAACAAATTCTCTGGAAACATCCGGGCTTCCCAGCAGGATTGGAAAATCTAAAGCCTTTCTGGCTGTCAGCCCTGGCTAGAAACTACTAGCCCAAAGTTGGGATTTCTGCCATGTGTATCACGAGACTCAATAAAACAAAGAAAAGAGGGACTATGAGGTTCTGGCTGTGGGTGGTGGACCCTGGAAAGGTCTCCATGCTGGGCCAGCATGTTCATCCCTCAGGCTTCAGATGGAGTGCTGCAGACAGTTGCCCACAGGGGTCACACAAGGGCAGTCCAGGGCTTCTCACTGGAAGAGAGCTGGGTCCTCTGTGAGGCTACCATCCTAGCCTCAGTGGATTATTACTGCTGCATCTCAGAACGCCTGTGGTCACACACGGGTCCAGTGATTTTTTTTTTCTGAAGAGCTAGAGCTGGGCCCTCACCAATAAAACAGCATGGGCACTAGGGCCCTGCGTGGGTTCTTCAACCTCCAGCTAGAAGGGTGTGGGTGAGAGGGTTTCCAAAATTAGTGGCTTAGTCCTGGTGACACATTTGTATCATCTGCTGAACTCTGAAAAACAACAGATGACTGAGCTCCACCCTAACCTAGTTGAATTTGAATTGCCAAGGGCAAGGCTGATGCTTTCATGTTTCCCCCAAGCTTCCCAGGTGATTTTGACATTCAGCTTCCACTTGAAACCAGCCTCTGATTAACCAGTCCTTAGAAATAAAATCAGATGAAGAGAGATGGGGGTAAGGGGGTTGCTCATTGAATTTGGGTGTTTTATTTGGAGTTTTAAAAATGTAGTGGGAGCAAGGCTAGGAAGATGGCTCATTGGTTAAAATGCTTGCCACACAACTTGAGGACCGGAGTTTTGGTTTCTAGAACCCACATAAATGCTGGGTAGGCATAGTGGCCTACCTGTAATTCCGACTTTAGAACAAGATAAGATGGGAACCCTAAACAAGATAAGCTAGTGAGACTAGGCTCATTAGCAAGCTCTGGTTTTGATTGAGAGACCCTGCCTCAGTAAATAAGGTGGAAGAGTGATCATGGATGATAACCAACATCAACCTCAGGCCTCCACATGTGCACATGCACACGCACATGCACACACACAGAGGAGTGCATCTGTACTCACACACACGTGTGACTCACACACACAAATGGAAAAAGAAAAAGAGTGTTCCCAGGCAGCTACCCATGAATACAGTGTGCAGCATTAGAAAATGCTTACTGGAATGCTTAACTGGAACAGCACAAGCAAGCCTTCTGAACGATGCTCTTTCTCCAGCTGGAACTCCCCATCCTGGTTTTTCACAAGAGCAGGTACAAGTGGCAAGAATAAGGTTCACTGCATGATTAGCCCCATCCATTCATCTTTGTTATGTTTTAGTTTTGCTATGCTGTGGATGGATCCCAGGATCCTCCACATGCTAGGTTAGGCAGAGGCATTACCACTGAGCCAGCCCCCACCCCACTAGACCCAGGTCCCTTTGAGAATGGAGTCTGAGGTGAGCTCACACAAGGCGGCATCTCTCAGCCAAGGCCCCAACTCTATGCTGACAAGCCTGGCTAGGAAGAAATCTAGGAAGCTAGTTGCAGCCTTTCTAGGAAACTCCAAACCAATGTCTATGGGGCACCAGCCATATGAATGTGTAGCCACTTTAATTTAAACAAGCACAATGGCTCCTTGAAGAAAATATATAGTGCTATTTGCTTGATGATGACCACCATGTATCTCCACAGCCTAAATCCTCAGTGGCTCCTAGTGGTCACAGAGTTCATCCAGAGATGTCCAGAGCTCTCCTCTTGCCCCACACAGCACATGATACCCCACCCATGCCTCGATAAGGCTTGCTGTTGTAATCCCCTGCTTCTTACTGAGGCTGATAATGTGTTGTGCTCGGGACCACCGCCAATCAAGCCCAGCAGGCATGGCAAGATCAGCATCTCCTATCTGTGGTCCATGAGAATACAACCTGGGCCAGAAAGTGGTGGTGCACACCTTTAATCCCAGCACTTGGGAGGCAAAGGCAGGTGGACCTCTGGTTCAAGGACAGTTTGAACTTCAGAGCAAGTTTCAGGATAGCCAAGGTTACACAGAAAAACCCTGTCTCAAAAAACAAAAGGAGGAAGAGGAAAGAGAAAGCAAGAGTCCAGTGTTCATTGACTTCTCTTGCCTGGAAATGACTTGCAAATGCTACCTATACCTGCAAGGGTGGAAGCCCATTATAAGAATGCTCAGACATTTGAGTCTGGACTGTGATGTTCCTAAGACTGCAATATCATTCACTTTTTCCAAGTGGGAAGTTGGAAGTTAGTGCTGGGCAGGAAGGAGATGATGCCAACAAAGAACATCTTGGTGGTTGTGTGAGGCTTTCTATACAGGGCCAGGTCACCAGACCACAGGCTCCTGGAGCCCCCTTCACTATTGATGCTGAGTCCTGTATGCAAACGAGCAAACTACCTTGTGTTTCTCTATCATCTGTCTGTCTGTCTGAGACAGGGTCTTACTATGTAGCTCTGATAGTCTTGAACTCACAGAGATCTGCCTACTTATGCTTCTAGTGATGGTATTAAAGGCTCATGCCACCATGCCCAGCTCCTTGTGTTTCTCTGTAAGACAATTTATAACGAATTCCCTTTTTAATTCATCCTCACCTCAGCCAGGTATTATCTGTAAGATTCTGGTTTGGATTTGCCAGCAGACCTGAAGTCCAAACACCATAGTTGGAAGAAAAGACCGTGTTTTTTGTCCTTAAATGCCTTTAGCCTGGAAGCGTGGCTCCAATTTTCAGTCAGGGACACTGGGGCCGGGATAGTTTTGGAAGTGATCATGGTTTCCTTCATGCTTAGGGAGAGCAGAGGGCCCTAAGGCTGTGGTTCAGGGGATGAGGCTTGCTCTGCGCACATCAAGTCCCAGGTTCTCTCTTTCACGGAGTGCTTGTGAGTTAGCGGTGGGGAGGTCAGGAGGAGGTAATCCTCAGCTAGATAGTGAGTTTGAGGCTAGACAGGAAGAGGAGAAGAAGCCCAGTGCAGAAGAAGTGAAAGAGAGAGGGGAAGGGGCACAGAGCCGGGGCCAGCAAGATGGCTGGGGTTGAGGCAGTTGCGGCTGACAAGCCGAGTTTCATCCCTGGGGAAGGAGAAAACCAATTTCCCCAAGGTGGCACCTGACCTACACACACACACACACACACACACACACACACACACACAAAATAAAATGTTTAAATTTTTTTTTAAGAGAAAGAAGTGGGGGCGGAGGTTGGAACACAGCAGTTCCCTGGCTTCCAGGGCCATTGTCTCATTTCTGCCTTCTTTCTTTCCACAGTCCACTCTGGGCTTTGTGGCCCTGATGCTGACTACGCTGCACACACTCACCTATGGCTGGACCCGTGCCTTTGAGGAAAACCACTACAAGTTCTACCTGCCGCCTACGTTCACGCTCACACTGTTCCTGCCTTGTGTGATCATCCTGGCCAAGGGTCTCTTCCTCCTTCCCTGCCTCAGCCTCAGACTTACCAAGATCCGCAGGGGCTGGGAGAAGGATGGTGCTGTCAAGTTCATGTTGCCTGCTGACCACAGGCAGGGGGAGAAAACAAGCCACGTGTGAGGCCCTGGAAACAGAGATGGGCACAGCTTGTGGGGGTCCTGAGCTGGGTTCAGGTCTCTTTTCTGGATGCTGCACTGGAGTGATGATATATGGGATCAAATTCCTGGGATGCAGGTGAATGCCAGGATATTCAGAATGACACACCATACATGTGATATGTATTCATATATATTTCATATATAATAGGATTTGGTATTATTCCTACTTAACTAAAAAAGGTGGGTCCATATATTTCAAAGCAAGTGCCACACATTAATCAGCAGATACCACCCTTGTGACATTTGCAGAGGCAGACACATACTTGATATAGGAGAAATTTGTATTTTGCTGTGTTCTTTAATCTCTGTTCTCTATATTCCCTGTTAGCTACATCCTAAAGTTGGTACAGAGCTGGGCCAAGAACTGCCCAGGTGCAGCCTACCCCACATGCCTGGGCTAAGAAGGAGGCCCTGAGTGTGCAGAGGATCTGGGTGCAAATGCAGATGCTCCCCTGGCATGTGTGGGGAAGCTCACCAAGATGCCCTGGAATCCATGCAGGAGCTTTTTGCAGGCCTGTCCTTTCTCCAGGGAAGGGACTGAAGCTGCCCCATCTGATCCTAGCTGAGCTGACGGGATTGTTCCTCCTCCCTGAAAGTCCAGAGTCACTGTGCAGCCTGCAAATTGATCCTTCTGCAAAGGTGTGAAGTCACCTCCTCGCCAGAGCCATTAATGAACCTGATCTTCAGAAGTATAATTGTTCTCCCTCCATTAAGTTGCTGGTGACCCTCCTTTAAATCACTGTGCCTTCTCACCTTTCCCATCATTAATTTGGACATCTCCCTGGAAGACATGAAGTAGACTCCTGTCATAGCAACCCAAGACAGGGGGTGGGGGTGGGGGTGGGTGGAGGCTCCAGAGGGTGGTTGCTAGAGCTTTCAGAGAATAATCAGCCAAACCATCCCCTTGGATTCATCCCAGGGCTTGGGGACTGCCTTCCATAAAATTGGTTCCTAAGGAGAACAACAGGGACCCCTATCGATTTACTCTGTTGCCTGTGGGCAGACAGCCTACCTTCTAAGCACACAGAAACCACATTGGCTGCATGCTCCTCCTCTGGGGATTCCACAGCCCCCCCTTGCCCATGCTTTTACCTCCCTCCCTTTCAGTTACAAGCAAGCACAAAAGTCTGCAACTATTGTTTTTTTAATCTTAAACATAACCATATTCTCATTTTAAATAGTTACAATTTCCTTTGTTGTTATTACTCTCTTCCTGTGCTTGGTTTATTAATTAGACCTACTCATGGATCTGTATAGGGGAAATGTGACTTATGCGTGTGAGTGTGTGCATGCATGCATGTGTCTTTCAGTCTGTCTAGAATAGACCCTGTATTATAATTCAAAACAACTGGGAGGGGCTTTTCCAGTAAAGCTACATACAAGTGTCAAACTTTGCTGCCCCAAAGCACAGAAGGCCAGACCATAGCCAGGGCATAGGGCATCTATCCTCCAAGTCCTGTGACATTCATCTGTGAGGGCAGCTCCTCAGGCCAACCCCCATATCATTCAGAGATGGAGTGATCTACCACCATTACAAAACAGTGATCCCATGGGCCTCCCCTGGGCCAGGAAGCATCTTTTGATGCAGGGAAGAAAGAAACGGCCAGCGTACACAGGATGAGATGTTCATCTTCCCACCAGGGAGGCATCATCAGAGACCTTAAGTAAAGGGATAGAAGCCCAGTGCAAGAACCTCCCTTTAGGCCCACAATGGGCAGAGGCATCACACCGGAGAGCCTGGCTGCTTCTTGCAGAAAAGGCCAGCCAATATCCTGTGCCAGAAATAGGGCCTAGGACTTGAACTGGCACCCATTGTGGCCCACAGAGAGGACCACTGGAGGCAAAACAGAGATGTTAACATAACAGCAGCCAATGAATTCCCTGCTGACCAAAAGCAGGAAGAACACTGGAAACAGCAAAAGTGGAAGCCCTACCTGGTAGGGGCCTACTGCCTTCTCCATCTCTCTCTGGAGGGAGATGGTTCCTTGTACCAAAGGTACCCCCAGGGGGGGCAGTGGGACACCCTCCCTTTCCTCACCCTACCTCTACCGCATTGCTACACATGGTAAGTGGGCACTTACCAATCAGCTCATGGATGGCAGGTGGACCATGTACTTGGTCCCAATCTTGCCATCTGTGCCTGCTTCTCCCCATCTCCCCAAGCAGTCAGCAGCTTCCAGGGGGCTGGTCACTCCCTAAGGCTGGCAGTCTTCATTCTTTGGGTCCCAGGGTACCCCAGCCCAGTGCTTTAGAAACTAAATGCACAGCCTGAGATGGACATGCAGCATATGGTGGGCTCAGCATCCCTGTTTCATCTTGTAGAGTTGTCTCAGAAGTGGTGACAGTACACAGTCACCTTTTGAACTTCAGACTTTCCTTTCAGGAAAGCAGATCACATGAGCATCACTTCCTTTGTGGATTCAGCTAGTTCTGTGGCTGGAGCCTGTGCTCACTCGGCCATACATTAGATGGAGGGGTTGCCAAGGTGAGCATTAATCTGTGCCAGAGGTAGCCACTGAGGAATGGCAGGTGTGCAGAGGAGTGACAGGCCAGTGATGGAACAGATGAGGTCCCCACGACAGAGTCTGGGTTGTAAAAAACAGTGCAAGAGGAATGAAAGTCATGGTTGTCCTCTAGCCTACACACATATACACACAAAACTCTATATTTTTTTGATAGCACAGAAAGTAGCTATTTTTTTTTTTGCCCCACAATTTCCCTATGACTCCAGACAGTTTATCTCTGCAAAATTTGGTCTCTGATAGTTGTTCAGAAATGCTCCTGTTTCATACTCAAGTGGAAACTTGGATGCACTGGCCATGTGACCCTCCCTTCCCGCCCATGAGGTGAATAATGAGGCCCTGTCTACTGAGTGCTGATTTCAATTACTGGACCAGAAACCTGACTTGTTTCTGTAAGTTCCCGTTGTAGGCAGAGCCTGGCTTTCAAAACAGTCTTAGTTGTGAAAGATTTCCCTAACCATCAGGCTTCCATTTCCAAAAGGATCTATCCTGCTACTTCCAGTTTCTGGACAGAAACGATACTTTTTGTTTAATTTTTTTATTATAGTGTGCATGTGTACCTGTGTGTATTGTGTGTGTGAGCGGGTGTGTGTGAGCATGTCTATGTGAGAGAGAGAGCATGGGTGTGTGTGTGTGTCAGGAGGACAATTCGAAGGAGTCAGTTTTCTCTTGGAAGCACATGCCTTTACTCACTGAGCCATTTGCTTTTGCGGTTCCACTGAACGCTCAGGAAGCAAAGAAATTATTGGGACTGAAAACAAAGGCTACGAGCTAGTGGCTGATTCCTGGTGAAAAACAACTTTGTTCATACCAGCTCACCTTTGACAAACCACAGGTAAAACAGCACAGGAGCATCCCCCAGGGACTTCAGAGAACAGAACTGGTGTCTTCTAGATATGACGGAACCACTGCACTCATGAACCCAAAGCAGCCATGGCTGCCTGCACAAGATGGAGCCACTCAATATTCAAGCATGGAGTTGTGTTCCACCTCCATGGGAGGAGCTATTGTCAGCTGATGGCTTTCAGAGTAGGGAGAGCCTATGTTAAGGATGTCACAGGTAGACTGATAATGTTCCAGTAGATGGCCTCAGTCCCACAGAGATGAATATATATATATATATATATATTAGAAGGAAGTAAAAATATTTATGTTCTTTCTGCTCAGAGACACAAACTGAGCTCAGTGGGCTATTAAATCACTACCACCATCAACAACAACATGAGGTAATTATATTTTTGAAAGAGGCACTGGAGAGATGACCTTTCATTTAAGAGCACTTGCTGCTTTTCCAGAAGACTGGGACTCAGTTTCCAGCATCTACAGGATGGCTCACAACCCTCTGTAACTCCAGTCCCAGGGGACCTAACACCCTCTTCCGGCCTCTGCAGGCACCAGGTATGCAAGAGGTGCCCAGACAAAAATGCAGGTGAAACATCCATACACATAAAATAAAACAATAATAAAAGTTTTTTTAAAAGAAAAGGCAATTATAACTAATGGTCCTGGGGCAGGAGCTATTGCTCAGGTGAAGAGTGTTTGCTGCTCTTCCAGAGGACAGGAGTCCAGTTCCCAGCACTCACATTAGGTGGCTCACAAGCCCCTGTAATTCCAGATATCCCATAGATATCCCATACTTGGCCTCAGTAGGCCCCTGAACACATATGGTACACACACACACACAAATGTACATTTCAAATAAAAACCTGTAAAAGGGGGAGAGGCTGGAGAGGTAGCTCAGTGGTTAATAACACTTGTTGCTCTTGTATAGGATTCCCAGCACCCACATGGTGATTTGCAAACACCTGTAACCCCCATTCTAGGGGCTCCAACAGGTATGCACATGGTGCACATATATGCATACATACAGGCAAATATTCAAACACAAAAAGTAAATAAAACATCTTAAGAAAGAAAAGGAGACTCTCATACACCAATTACTGGTGTTACAAAGGGAAAGAATTGTGGGAAGGCAAATTTTGAAGAAGGGAAAACCAAGATTTTCTAAAGCCAGTAAGACTGGGATCTAACTGAAGCAGAAAGCAGCGTTTGCGAGCAAGCAGGGAAACAAATTAAAAGTAAGCCACACAGACGCAGCAAGCAGCTCGGAGAAGCAGCCAGGAAAGACAAAGACAGGTCACCTACAGTTGTGGAACCGTAAGAGATTTCCTAACAGGTTGGTGCGAATCAGAAAATAGTGGCCACAGCTCTTAAAAGACAGAGAGGAAGTGATCGTCTTTAGTTATGTATTTGCATATTCATTTGCATATTTAACATTGACATATTTGTGTATACGTGTATGTATTAAAGGAATGAGGGCAAAATGACTGTTTCCAGGAAACAAAACTTAAGAGGTTCCCAACACTTCTTCCCTAAAGATGTGCTCACTGAGAAGAAAAAGGGGAGGGTGAAAAGGAAGAAGGATTAGAAAGTAAAGAAACCCCAAGCAATGAGATGGCTCAGGGAGTGAAGGGGCTTGCCACAAATTCTGAAGACCCAAGTTTGATTCCTAGGATCCACATGGCATATGGTAAAGAGAACCAACTCCCACAGCGTGTTCTCTCTCTCTCTCCTCTCTCTCCTCTCCTCTCCTCTCCTCACACATACACACACACATACACACACACACACACACACACACACACACACTAAACATAAGACATACAAAGAAAAAGACTCATGAAAAATTAAAGGTAGATGCTAGAAATACATCCCATGAGGAGACCATTGAGCACTGGGGCAAACTCACCAATGTCTAAGACCTCAAAATCCCCTCATTTCTTAAATCTGACAGGGTCTTTCCAACACAAACTCACTGTCCTGAGGCTTTGCATAAACCTACATACCAGTGTCTACCAAGGTAGAGCCAGAAGTCCAGCTCCAGGGTTTCCGGCTCACAGTGACATCCGTGCAAGCCTGCCTTCCAGCACATGGACGCTGCCAGAACAGAAACCAGCCTTCCCACTGCAGCCCAGGAGCTCAGGAGGCATCCACTCTAGGTTTATATCCAGGAGACACTGAAATCACAGGGCACACACTGGCAGCACTAATTAGACCCAGTGAGTTAAACAAAAGAAGTTGTGAGGGAAATGTGACAGGAAGGTCTGGGAGAAGTTGATTGGGAAGGATTGGGGTAGTTGGTTTTTGTTTTGTTTTTGGTTTTTGGTTTTTTGTTGTTGTTGTTGTTTGTTGTTGTTGTTTTGTTTTTGTTTTTTTGGGGTTTTTTTTGGTTTTTTGAGACAGGGTTTCTCTGTGGCTTTGGAGGCTGTCCTGGAACTAGCTCTTGTAGACCCGGGCTGGTCTCGAACTCACAGAGATCCACCTGCCTCTGCCTCCCGAATGCTGGGATTAAAGGTGTGCACTACCAACGCCCAGCTAGACTTGGGGTAGTTTTTATCAAAAGCATTTGTAAAATGAAAATGTTATTCTGGAAGGATAAACAAAATGTATTTTAAAAGAAGGAGGCTGTCGCCAAGCAGTGGTAGTGCACGCCTTTAATCCCAACACTGGTGAGGCAGAGGCAGGAGGATCTCTGTGAGTTCAAGACCAGCCGGGTCTACAAGAGCTAGTTCCAGGACAGCCTCCAAAGCCACAGAGAATCTCTGTCTCTAACCTCTCTCCAACCCCCAAGGGAAAAAAAAAAGGCTGTCTGTTTGGATTTTGTCAATATAGTTATGTATATAATTAATTGAGCATCCAGCTGCATATCTAAAGACTAAAGGCAATGGTAAGAGGAAATGTGCTAGGAAGGAAGAAACATTAAGATGGGTGCTGTGGAGTATTCCTTTACACTGCGAGAATATATGTTGCTGTGGTTGGTTTAATGAAGAAGCAGACTGGCCAATAGCCAAACAGAATAAGGTTAGGCAGGAGAGCCAGACCAGGAGAATTCTGGGAAGAAGAAAGGTAGAGTCTGGAGTTGACAGCGAGGTGCAGAACTGTTGGACACACAAAATGGGATGGAGGTAAAAGCAACAAGCCTTGGGGCTGCAGAGGGGATGAATAGAAATGAATTGAATTGTAAGAGCTAGGTAATAACAGGCCTGAGTTATTGGTTGAGCATTTATAAGTAATCTTAAGCCTCTATGCTCCTTATCTGGGAGCAAGTGGTTAGGACAGGAAAACTCTGCCTACAGAAGGGGGTGGCTACATCATCATATAAAATATCCTTTATGACAAAAGGCATTATTTGGGGTAGAGAGGGTCATGACATAATGATAAAATATTTAAATATTTATAATTCAATATATTAAATAATGTTGCCTCGAAATACATAAAAAGCATCTGGAAAGATTTTCAGTGGTTAGGAACATTTGCTGATCTCCCAGGGGACCCACATCCTATTCCCAGCATCCACATTGGGCAGCTCACAACCAATTGTGACTCCCATTCCAGAGGCTTCCACCAAGCCTTTCTGGCCTCTTCAGACATCTGCACTCACATGCATATATACATAGACACATATAATTAAAAATATAAATAAATATCTTTTAAAGGAAGAGACGCATCCTAGGTGGCATTCTATTGCTGTGATAAATACCGTGACCAAAAGCAAGTTGAAGAGGAAAGGGTTTAGTTCATCTTATACCTCACATTATGAAGGAAGTCAGGGCAGGAACTCCAGGCAGGAACCTGGAGGCAGGAACTGAAGCATAAGCCATGGAGGGGAGCTGCTTACTGGCTTGTTCCCTATGACTTGCTCAGCCTGCTTTCTCATTCAGCCCAGGGTGACACTGCCCATGGCAGGCACAGAGTTGCCTACAGGCAATCTGATGGCAGCAATCCCTAGGTTCCCTCTTCCAAGATGATTCTATCCAAGTGGATTACAACAACTGGCCACCTCAGGAGGGATGAGGCAGGAGGGATAGAGGAAAAGGGAGGGGGATGTCACCATGCTAAATCCCCACATGTAAGAATCACATGTGTGTTTAACAAGCTTGACATCCTAATCGGAAAATTCTAGTCCTAAGAAAACATATTAAGCCATAATTTTTTTTAACAAATATCAAAGAGTAAGAACGTAGAAAACATTCTCTAAATTCAATGAAAAACACATTAGAATTCAAGAAGAACATGGCATTTTAAATGCCCAAACATTTGAAATTTAAAATATTCATTTCTAATTAGGTCATTAATCAAAGAGAAAATTGTAATAGAAACTTTTCAAAAATTTTAATTGGATTATTATTAAATACCCCTATCAAAGAGTTCAGGTTACAACAAAAATATTAATTAGAAGGAAACCCATAGCCTTGACAGGAATCACACACCAAATAAATACATGAAAGTAAAAAATGAAAAATTTAAAATCCAGACAAAGTACCCAGAATGATAAACAAAATGTAAGAGCAGGAATTTGTGAAACAAGAGACAAAGACTTGGTAGAGAGAATAGCAAAATTGAATAAATAAACCTTTGATAAGACTGATCATGACTAGAAAGACAAAGGTTCAAATAAAGCAAGCTTAAGAGGAGACAACAGTACAGATTAAATAGATTTTTTAAGAGACCATAAGCAATTACATGTGAGGGCCGGAGGGATGGCTTAGTGGTTAAGAACACCTGCTGTTCTTCCAGAGGACCTGGGCTCAGTTCCCAGCATCTAT